ATTATCACCAATAAACAAACTTTCTGCTTTAGAGCTTTATGCAGACATGACAATAAACCTGTTTCTCAGTACTGTCATGATGCTTTGGAGCGGTCAGTACCAGAAAGAGTGAAACAGAGAGAACACAGTGAAAATTTTAATACAAAAAATATATAGTCAACAGCCAATTATAACCATTCATCAATCCATAATAAGAACAATGGCAATAAAGTTACCTAGGACTTCACAGTATGAATCTAGTTCATGATAAACTGAGTTCCCTGTACACTCTAAAGTGGTTTTAAGGTCAGAAAAACACAGTTTCTCATGGACTCTCAGTAATCGGATGTTCTCAGATGGTGGCTGGACTTCCAGGAGGCAGCAGAAAGCCAGACTGTAGTCAATGTGGCTTTTCTTCTCATGGACCAAGCAGTGTGGTGCTTTGTCTTTTTTTCCACTGTTGCTCAAGATAAACTGACCAAAGTTTAGCCTGTGGTAGGATATTGAACTGAGAGGATACATCTGATAGGAGAATAGGAATCATCCCTTCGACTCCAGTCCTATTTTACTTTGATGATGATTTTATTGGTCAAACATTTGACCAGTTTACATGAGAGCCTTTCAGTGGTGTGTATGAAAGAGCATTTCACCAGTTTATATGAATAGTTCTCACTACTTTGTATAAGAGCTTTTGAGTAGGTTATAAAAGAGGTACATTTTTTCAATGGTTTATGTGAGAGCTTTTCACTAGTGTTTGTTTAATTTAATACCTACCTCAACGGTCACGTGACGTGAGAGGAGGGTTTATTTTAAAGTAACGAAGGCCATCTTTTCTAGCGCATCAATAAGAGAACGAGGAAAAAAGGTACCGAAACTTTACTAGTACTCATAAAAACACTACCGTAAAAAACAAACTAATAAACGATTTAATATTCCGCCCCCGTTCTGACGATAATTTACCAAAGCAAACTGCCGGGCAAATACAAGGTCTGGTGTTACCAATTCACACTCTACCAGAGACTGCTGTGGCCCATAAAAATGAGTGAGATCCCCTCATCAACCGTGAGTAGGATGGATGGGAAAGCCAACTCATTCATCCGAAAGTGGTTGGGGCTGCCACGTTGCATCTCTGAAGCCGGCCTGTTTGGGATGAACATGCTCCAGCTACCTCTAAGATCGCTACAGCTGGGCTACAAGCAAGAAGAGACCAGGTTGGTGCTCGAGCTTCGGGAGTCCACAGATGAGTCGGTTAGGAATGCTAACGCCAGGGTCCTGACAGGCTGCAAGTGGAACGCCCAGACCGAGGTCGACCAAGCTGTAAGCCGGCTGCAGCACAAGGAGATTGTGGGCAGAGTGCAGGTAGGAAGAGCAGGCCTAGGATGGGGAGAAGCGCCACGCTTCTTGTCCAAGGCCCACCGCAAGGAAAGAAAGGAAATGGTGGTGGCGGAGGTGACGAGGATGGAGGAAGACCGCTATAAGATCAAGGCTGTGTCTCAGGGACGGCAAGGAAGCTGGACAACCTGGGAGGGAATCTCAACCAGGAACATCAGTTGGTCAGACTTGTGTAAGATCCCACAGGCAAGACTCAGCTTCCTTATCCGCTCAACATATGACACGCTTGCCTGTCCTCGGAACCTCCACCAGTGGTTCGGAAATGAGGAATGTTGTGCACTCTGCAATGCTCCCAATGCAAGCCTCCAGCACATCTTGTCAGGCTGCAAAGTGGCCCTCTCACAGGGCCGCTATAGATGGCGCCATGACCAGGTCTTGAGAAAGCTGGCCGAAGTGCTGGAGGAGTGCAGACAGGGTCGCAGAACACCAGCGACGGCAGAAGACCCCACCATCTTTGTCGCAGAAGGAGGAATCAGAAGCGTCAAGCAAAGGCAAACCGCAAGGCCCTTCGCTACTGGCCAGGAGTGGAGCATGAAGGTTGACCTGGACAGGAAGCTTCAGTTTCCCACAGAAATCACCACCACATTTCTCCAACCAGACATTGTGGTGCGGTCCGTAAAGACAAGAGCGGTAGCCCTCATTGAGCTCACTGTGCCAATGGAGGAAGGGATCGAAGCCGCCTTTGAGCGAAAGAAGGCCAAGTACTCAGAGCTGGCTGCTGAGTTCCGGGAGGCGGGCTGGAAGACTACCATCTACCCAGTGGAGGTCGAATGCCGAGGTTTCACGGGGTTGTCGACCATACGCCTCCTGAAAGATGTGGGAGTCACGGGAGGAAAGCTGAGGAAGGCAACAAAGGAACTGGCTGAGAAGGCGGAGAAAGGGAGCTTTTGGCTCTGGCTGCGGGGGAAGGACAGAACCTGGGGGAATAACACTTAACCCCCAGACAACAGTTGCAGGGAATAACATCTTTCAGCTGCAGGGTGTGACAGGGAGATGTCCCTGTGACTGCCCCGCCACCAGGAGACGTTCCAGGATTAAAGGGGCGAAACGTTGATGAACGGTGGTTCCTGGCTGATGACCCTGCAGCTGACCCATGGGCACCGGAGGAGGTGCGACAGGCAGCAATGCCAGGCAGGATTTAACACCCTCCTGTATTATCCTGAAGTTCTGGGATACCCAGTGACTACTGTGAATAGGGCAGTTGGAGTCCAGGGAAGTCTGGATGACGGCAGGGAAAGACCACACGGGGAGTGGGCGGCTAGTTACCCAACCCACTGGTCTCTCACGAGAGAGACACCCAACTACGAAAAACAAAAAGAAGCAACAACCCGTGGGCCCTCCGAGAGGCGGGATGAAATATGGGCCCAACAGCACGGACTACACGGTGACGACGGAAACGGAAAAGGATAACGAGAGACCCAGAACACCAGGAAATGAGGAGAAGGTCCTCCGAAGGTGTGCATGTGGGTGGGGGAAAGTGACCACGTTTAGGGGAGTACGGATCCACCAGGGGAAAGCAAAGTGTGGACAGAATGGCCAGCAGCAACCTTGCACTGCAACAGCAGGTGAGACAAGAGGGACCAAAAGCCAGGGCAAAAAAACACAGAGCCAATGGACCCAATGTTGCTGAAGGGGGTGACAGAGGAAGAAGGTCCATTGGTGGAGAACAAGTCCCCACGTGAGCATGAAGACCCAGTCCTCACCACGCCAGACAGAACAGAGCCGATCACAGCCAATGCGACCCCAACGCAGAGTACTGACCACTATATGATCACAGGATTGTGCTGACAGGCATTGGGTGTCGTTCTGTTTCTGGAACCGACATTGATTCTCCCTCTGTCTGAGGACCCCAGTATTGGACCTGGGTTCCGTTTCATCAAGCAGGTTTTAAGAAGAACTCTGAGTTTGTTAAATCTGAAATGACAGAAAGTCAGATTTTTCTCAAAGAGAAGTTGCTCCACCTTTGTCTGTCTTGCCATAGTAACAGTCTCCCCTGAACTAACCTGGTCAGGAGCAGGTTTTCCTCCATAAACTCAAAGTATCTTCTGTCCCTGCCCTGTTTAAAACAGTCAAACAATTTAATTTCTTCATTCAGTCAGGAATTGTCTTAAGCATGCAAGACCACAGTCCGTTGAAGACCGGAGTTGTGACATAAGCCTTCGCACGAGGGTTCAAGTAAACGGGAGCCGTACCCTAAAGCACTTTGTTGGCTAGCATCATGTATTTGAATTTCAATTCAGTGACGTGAGACTTTTTGGGCTGATTGAAGACCAGACGCCGCGTTCTGGATAATTTGTAATGGTTTTACCGTACAGGCTGGAGACCAGTCAGGAGGGTGTTACAATAGTCGAGGCGGGAGATAACCATAGACTGCACAAGGAGCTGGGTAGCATGTTGAGTTAGTTATGGCCGGATCTTTCTTATGTTTAATAGTGTGAAGCGACGAGATCGAGAGACAGAGGTAACATGATCTTTAAAAGTCAGCTGGTCATCAATCATGACACCCAATTTTCTTGCTGCCTTTGATGGAGTCAGAGACAGGGATACAGTCTGGATGTGAAATATTGTGCTGTATGGTTGGTTTGGCTGGGAAAACAAGCAGTTTAGTTTGAAAGAGATTCAGTTGGAGGTGATGGGCTTTCATCCATTTTAATATGTCAGAGAGACAGTCTGAGATGTGTGCTGAGACCGTGTGGTCATCAGGTGGAATTGACAGATAAAGTTGTGTATCATCAGCATAACAGTGGTATGGGAAACCATGTCATTGAATGATCTGGCCCAGCGTGGTGGTGTATATGGCGAAAAGAAGAGGTCCCAGTACTGAACCTTGAGGAACCCCGATGATGATGTGGTGTACTGCAGAAATGTGACAAGCCAGAATACTTTGAATGATTGACCAATGAGGTACAATTCAAACCAGGGGTGTGCTCTCCCTGTGATACCCATGTTCGAAGGTATAGAAAGATGGATTTCATGGTTGACTGTGTCAAATGCAGCTGATAAGTCAAGCAGGCTAAGTACTGAGGACTTCCCTGTTGCTCTCGCCTCTTTTAAGGCTTTTGTCACAGACAACAGAGCCGTTTCAGTGGAGTGGCAATTTTAAACCCAGATTAGTTTGTATCAAGGAGATTATTTTGTGAGAGATATTCTGTAACTATCTTAAAGATCACTAATCATCACTAATTTTCCTTTCCACATTTATTTTTAAAAAATGTCCATTTGAATAGCTTTTATGCATGATTACATGCAATTGACAGACATTGTTGATCTTGGCACGTATCAGTTTATTGTGTTTATAAATGGCAGTGATATGGCCGCCCTACTCACAGTACCTCGCACATGCTTAAGAATATTAATTGAATGCCCGATAACAAGGTACATTTACAAATGGCACTATAGGACCAGTTTGATATAAAACAATTTCATACAATATATATCGTTAGGGATCCCTGCTCCATCTCGCCATCAGTTTGGGGGTCCTTGGCCTGGAAAACGTTTAAGATCCCTGATCCCCTGGATCTACAAAAATGGAGCTAGGTAAATATTACACAACAGTAAACATGTTCTTTTTTCCTTTGTTTAAACTTTTTTTTTTCAGGGGATCCAAAGGCTGGTCTTTCTGCCAACAGGCTAGAGGAGATCGTCTTTATATCGTGTATTACAAGCTGCACTCTGCACTGAACTGAGCTTGAGTCCTTTTTGTCTAGCTACTAGAGCCAGAGAACCTTACTTATACATGTACTGATACCTGATGATCGGCTAGTTTCTTCTCAAAACACAGTGCTGTGAATAGTTACCGTCTTGTCACACTGCCGGATATACTAGTATTGGTGACTTGGATTGAAACGAGCTGAAATAGCTCATCTGGGAGAGCGTTAGACTGAAGATCTAAAGGTGGAGACATTTTCACCTCAGTGAGTTGGCACAAAGTCTTAGTTTTCCTTGAAGTGAAGAAGACACTTCACACTCAGTTTAATAAGGCATAAGGGATATTGTTGTGGTCCTGGACAAAAAAAGCTTGATTTATGAGTGATTGATGGCTGAAGATGTTCTGGGTACAACATGCTTCAAAGCTTCCTCCATACAAGTACAACACAATCAGAGGTATGTGGCCAGTATGGGGCTTGAACCCATGACCTTGGCGTTATTAGCGCCACGCTCAGATACACCACTAGTGGCTGGCCCATGGGGGGCGCTCGGGCGCTGCCCCCCTAGATGTGGAGGGGAAAGGGTCATTTTCTATATATATGTTTAAAGTATCATCAATGTCAGTTTTACTTAATAGTATGTGGCTACATGTAATATAAATGATCAAAACAACACTTCCACCAATTAACTCTCATTCAACAGTGCATTTTCACCCACAGAACGTATCATTTCTCTTCTTGGGCGCTCACTCAAAGCGCCCCTGAAGTGCAGCTAAATAACCAATTGTATAATGTTGCTAGGGAAGATTAATATATGTTTGGCCAATCAGCATCGCCAAAAGGATTTGCGTTAGGGCCCCTGGAATCTTCGCCCCTCTTACAGTGATACAGGTGATGTAGCTAGTAGTCAGTCAGGCAGTGAGGTAGAGATGATGGCGATGATGACAGAGCAGCTTTCACACAGTTCAGTGAGATCTTTACCCTTTTGCGAGAAGGACGATGGTGGAGAAATCCATGTAAAGGAGCTGGGACCTGACAAGCCGAGCTGAGAGTTGTTTGTCATACAGTTCCTTTCTAAAATAAGTACCAATATAGCTGTAAATGGTTAACTGTATCTGTAAACTGCTGATTCTGAGAAGGGAATTAAATGCTTATTGTGTAATTGTAGTAATTTTTCGACTTTTATTTTGAAAGCATGTACTGGGGGTTAGGCAGGGAAATCTATTGGCACACCAGCCCCACTAAGATTTTTTTTCACCAGCCGCCACGTAGATACACCCTTCAGAGCGTGATACACACCACCATAAAACTATTGTGGTTTATAGAGACAGTTCTCCTTTTGAAAACTATGTGACTTGTGAGGTCCAAACAAACATTACTGGGACTTTAAAGGGACAATGCTCATTAACATAAAGATATATTAACCTGACACCACCATACATTACTGGGACTTAATTATTATTCTAAGTGTACAAACAATAGATTGTCACACAACACAAGTGCCATGACCATAATATATTTTAGCTTTTTGGCTTAACCAGCAATAACTAGAAAAACTATGATGCATTGAAAAAACCTGTTATTTCCTAAAGCTGTACATGTTGATATATCCATGATATCTTTGTGAGGAAATCATAATATCCAAAGAGTTTTGGGAAAGCTTGTCAGCTTTTCCTCCTCGTTAACTCTGACAGCATCTTCTGAACTCCGCAGTGGATGGGAGTGTAAAGAAGAGCTGCGTTGGCCGGGAATCGAACCCGGGTCAACTGCTTGGAAGGCAGCTATGCTAACCACTATACCACCAACGCCATGCATTATGAAGAGGAACGTTTGAAAATGGAACCAGAACTCACACAAATGTACTCCTGTTAGATATGATCTCTAACTATAGAACTGCCAGGTCTTTCAAGTTCAGGTTAAAATTACCCACAAGGGAACTAACATGATAACCTGTCTTGCCTATCAGATACACTTAGAAATAGTCACAGCTACAAACAGCACACTGAGGAGAAGGTCCACAATAATCCATGAGCAGTCTCTGTGGCACAAGCAGGCAGTGTGTTCAGCTGTTAACTGAAAAGATGGAGGTTTGAGCCCACCCTGATTTATGCACATCCGCAGCAAGTCATTGTAAATCTATTCTTATGTGTACTTCTGATAGGCAATACAGATTATCATGTTAGTTCCCTTGTGGGTGATTTTAACCTGAACTGGAAAGACCGGGCAGTTACATAGTCAGCTAATCATTTGTAAAAGGAGTTAATTTGTGTGTGCTTGAGGCCCATTTTCATACGTTCCTCTTTGTCATGCATGGCGTTGGTGGTATAGTGGTTAGCATAGCTGCTTTCCAAGCAGTTGACCTGGGTTCGATTCCCGGCCAACGCAGCTCTTCTTTACACCCCCACCCACTGCGGAGTTCAGAAGATGCTGTCAGAGTTAACGAGGAGGAAAAGCTTCCCGACAACTCCTTGGATATTATGATTTTCTCACAA